TTTCATCCTGCAAGATAAACATTTGCCCCTAACCCGCAGAGTGGGCATGCCCTCTGTTGGGTCTCAGCAGTCACACAGATGGACAGTCTACTGCACAGCCAGAAGGCAGGGTGCAGCTTCCTTCACCCAGCTCACTGGCCCTGGCTTTAGACACGGGGAATGCTGTTGGTCTGCCGTTGAGTGTTGATGGGAGACGAGGCAGGAGCTGGACACACCCTGTCTGTCCCTTCATAGGTCCTTCTCCTACATGGACAGTTACAACTGGGACATCCGCTTTGACAACATCTACGTCACCACCTACTTCCAGCAGATTGATGAGCGCAGGAAGAAGCTGGTGAGGGAACTCAGCCCTGCCAGGGGATGCCTTACTGCGCCCTGTGTGGACATACCTCAGGAGAGTGACGGTCCCTAAGGTTTTTCCCTATAGAGACATTTTTTAATGTGTTTTGCCTGCTTGTCTGTATGTGTGCCATAGGCATGCATGTAGTGCCTTCAGAGACCAGCAGTGGGCTCTGGATCTCCTGTAACTGGACTTACAGGCAGTTGTGAGCCACCTGAGATGGATGCCGGCAACCCAACCTAACCTCCGAAAGGGCAGTAAGCGCTCTTAACAGCTGAGCCACACTTTCAGTCCCCCCCCCCACACACACACTTTTTTTTTTAAGGGCAATCAGAGTCTGTTGCCCCTCCGCAAGGCAGAAAAGAGATCCGTTATCTTCCCTTTCAAGCCCTCCATCCAGGCCTCAGAAATGCGAAACGTGGTGAGCTGGGTCAGGAGCAGGTTGGGGATGGGTGGCGACTCGTAGGTGGGACTCTGAGGGCAAAGGGCAGAGAACACCCCAAGCCAGGGCAGGGGCCCCAACCCTATCTACCTGGGCTCCCCACAGGCAAGGGAGCTCCTGGAGATGCTGCCTATGGTGCTTCTGCTGCTGGTGCTGTGTGGGCTCGACTGGGCGCTCTACTCCATCTTTGACGCCATCCGCCGGCATTCCTTCCTGCAGTACTCCTTCCGCAGTGAGCCCAAGTGACAGCCCCTCCCCCAAAGAATGTCTCCTCTACCTCTCTGTTCTCTCCTCCTCCCAAGTCCAACCCTAGTCCTACGTGAAACCCTCTTTCTCTCCACTCTGACCAGGCAGTCACAGACTGGAGGTGAAGGTTGAGGGAGACTCTATGCTGGCCAGGCTTCTACGAAGAACCATCGGAGCCCTGAACACCTCCTCGGATACAGGAGTAGTGGAATCCGACAACATGCGTAAGGGAAGAACTTTGGTATCCTCGAACTGGAAAAGTCAGAGTCCAGAAAAGCTCAATCAGCCTTCGGAGGAGGTGTCATTGTGGGGAGGGCAGATAATAGAAGCTATGTAAGATTGGAGGAGCCGGGCGGTGGTGGCGCACGCCTTTAATCCCAGCACTCTGGAGGCAGAGGCAGGCGGATCTTTGTGAGTTCGAGGCCAGCCTGGTCTACAAGAGCTAGTTCCAGGGGCTGGAGAGATGGCTCAGCTGTTAAAGAGCACTGACTGCTCTTCCAGAGGTTCTGAGTTCAATTCCCAGTAACCACATGGTGGCTCACAACCATCTATAATGAGAGCTGGTGCCCTCTTCTGGCCTGCAGACATACAGACAGAATACTGTATACATAATAAATAAATAATTTTTTAAAAAAAGAGCTAGTTCCAGGACAGGCTCCAAAGCCACAGAGAAACCCTGTCTTGAAAAACTGAAAAAGAAAAAAAAAAAAAGATGGAGAAGAAGAGGCAAGGGGAAGTTAAACTGGAAGCCCATCCTGTACCTCCTACTGGAGCAGGAGATCAACCCGATGCTGCCCTGTCCCTCAGCTGGCCCTGACCAGACTGCTCACAGCCTGTCTCCTCCCCCAGCCTGTCTGCCTCAACCCATGGGCATGGATGCCAGGGCCTACTGGAGAGCTTCACTGCCAACCGTTCTCCTTGTGTGTCTCTGCTTAGTCCAAGCTTTTGGTTACAGGCTCCGGAGAGTCATTGCAGCCTTCTACTTCCCCAAGGTGAACTCTCAGACAACTCCACCCCTCAACACACGCACGAGGGTGGACACACACACACACACACACACACACACGCACGCACACACCGGCCCTGTGTCCCTCCCTGCTCTGGCACTATGACTGAGTTCCTTTTGCTCCCTACCCAACCCTTCAGCGAGAGAAGAAGCGGGTTCTCTTCCTCTACAATGAGTTGCTCAGGAAGAGGGCAGCTTTCACTAAACTGAGGAGGGCCGCCATTGTTCGTCGGGCACATCAGCAGAGGGCTCCGGTAAGTACAGTCCCGGGCAAGCCTGCCAACTCTCGCCTGGATCTAGATTCTCAGAGAAGGGGCACCCTTTTCAGTACACTCAGCACCCTCTGCACCCTCTGTTGTCCCAGGCTCACTGGAGCTGGGTGTGTCTGGCAGGATGTGGGTTCCAACTTCTTCTGGAGGTCAGGCTATATCTGTCTATGAACTTCGATATTCAGCACAGTCCGAGACCAGTGGTGGCCCTTTAGGAGGGACAGAAAGGGGAAGTCAGATCTGATGGTCTGTTTGTAGGAAATCAAGCAATACTGATCAGAAAGAAGCCGCTGACGAGCCCAAGGTGGTTCCGGAAAAGAGAAAGGCGGGTGGCGGGGGCGGGGTGGGGGGAGGTATTGGAGAGCTTCATGAAGGAGCTTGTGATCTCTGGAGGACACAGTCAGAACCGAGTCTGAATCCACACTTCCGAAAGCTGTGGGAGCCTGTGGTCCTCGCTGTATCTATTCTTCCTTGGAACAGAAGGGCGTGTGGACAGGATGTGAGACCATTCCTCAGTTGTAAGAAGGGTAACTAGGTGGCAAAGACGCTTTGGTTAACTCCACCTCCATCTCTGCCCTGCCATGCGCTCTCTTTTCTGTAAAACGGTAGGAATTACATCATGGTTCAGTTGTTACAATGACTGCTTTACTTCCTTGATGCTGGTAGAAGAGCATTCTATGTGTGTGTGTTAGTTGTCACTGGATGTCACTATATGCCTGGAGCAAACAACTCTTTCTCCATCAGTTCTCTCCCCGGAGGAGAGATGGTAACAGTAACGGTAAGCACTGCCAGGCAGCGGTGGCTACACTTTAATCCCACCCAGCACTCGAAGCAGAGGCAGGTGGATCTCCTAGTTCAAAACCAGCCTGGTCTGCAGAGCAAGCTCCTAAACAGCAAGAGATACACAGAGAAGCCATGTCTTGAAAAGCAAAATAACAGTAAACAATCACACACACACACATACACACACACATACATACACACACACACACACACACACACACACACACGGAGGGGTATTGGGATGAACAGAAGGCATGGGCTCTACCACCAAGCTACACTCCAGTCCACACATCGTTTTGTTTACTTGAGTTGTTTACTGTAGTCTTTTTACAGGTGCTACCATTATGACCAGAAAGACAGTTAAGTGGCTACGGTGACCTGCCACCTAGCCTGATGACTTGAGTTCAATCCCACCCACATAGTAGAAGGAAATGACGTTCACAAGTTTTCCTCTGACTGCCACACATGCCCCGAGGCACACATAAATATGGCACCAACAGGCTGGGATTCCTTGACCTTGGTCCTGAAGAAAATTGAACCGGAATGGCTATGAAGTAGAAGGGATATGTATTCTAAGCTAAAGGAACAGGATGTGGGAAAAAAAAAAAAACCCTCAGAGACCAAAATGAATGCCAAGACCAAAGGTTAAGCTAAGGAAAAAGCTTAGACAAGGGAGGCAGAGCAAGGCTACAAAGAAATAGATCTGAGTGTTCTGAAGGCCAAGCCCGGAGCTGCTTTCATCTGGCAGGCAGTGGGGCCCTGGGATTTCTTAAGCAATGGCCAGTGACGGGTTCCCGGCAATTGTATGAAGCCATCTGGAAACTGGGATACTGAGTCTAATAACAGCAAAATCTGTAATTTGGCTCCTGCCAGGTTTGACTGAGATCTGACTCACGAAAGTTACACCATCTTTCTAAGTTTTGTTTTATAGATTTAAAAATTTTTCATTTACTTATTGCAAACGGGTGTTTTGCTCACGTATATGTCTCTGTGCACTTTGTGAGTGGCTGGTGCCCAAGGAGGCCAGGAGATCATCAGACCCCCTGGAACTAGACTTACAGACAATTGTTTGGTGCTCGGACTCAAACCTGGGCCCTCTGGAAGAGCGGCCAGTGTTTTGAAGCACTGAGACATCTCTCCAGTCCTCCTGTAGGCCCTGTCTGCCCTGCTCCCTTCTAAGCCTCACTATAAGGATCAAATGAAGCCGCTTTACAGGTACATATAATAGCTGCTGCAGGTTATCCTCGGGAGAGGTTCTGCATTCCACCGTGGAGGAAAGGCGGCTCTGCAAGACTCACCTCCATAGCACTCTCGCCCTCCAGGGCTCTTCTGGTCCACCCCAGCTGCCTTCAACAAACCAGTCAGGCCTTGCTTGGGACTTGAGACTTTAAGAGCTGCCCAGTGGTCCTGACAACCCTTTCTGCTCAGCCCACCTGGCATTAACCAAGCCACCCCGCCTCTCAACAGCGCCACCACCTGGTGGACACTCTGTACCGCTGGAGCCCTCTCCTGCGCCGCTTGACGCGTCGGCGCTGCGTAGTGTGCCAGGCACCGGAGACGCCCAAGTCCTACGTGTGCCCCACGCCGGACTGCCAGGCCGTGTACTGCGGGTCGTGTTGGGACGACATGCGACGGCGGTGCCCGGTGTGTACACCCCTCGAGGAGCTCTCTTCCTCCGCCTACAGCGACAGCAACGACGACACCGTCTATGGCGAGTGAAGGGATGCTGCCCGCCTTCTTGCTTAATAAAGTGTGATGCACGCTCCTGCGACTGGCGCTTCGCGGGGGTCGGGGACTGGGGAAGCTGGAAGTGTCGGTCCGCACGACCCTCACCAAGCCGGGCCACAGACCCGAGGCCGGACCGCAGCGAACAGCGGGGGAAGGCACGCGCCCCGCCGCCTCCACACCGAACCCGGGAGCCGCCGGAAAGAGGCTGCGCTGGGCGGCAGGGGCGGGGCCTCGGGGGCCGCGGACGGGGCGGGGCGGGGCCTGGTGGCTGCGCTGCGCCGAGCTGGTGTCCGACCCCGCTGCTTCTCCGCGCGTGGCCCCGCACCTGCTGCCTTTGCCCGACCCGGAGCTCCGCGGCTATGCGGCTGGCGCTGCTCTGGGCCCTGGGACTCCTGGGTGCGGGCAGCCCTCGGCCCTCCCCGCCGCTCCCAAATATAGGTGAGTTCCCAGGCGGGAGTGGGTCGAGGAGGTGACTGGGAAGAGGTACAAGGGAACCCGGAGACACTGGGGTGCTGCGGTCTGCCCGAGCTTAACTAGGGTGCAGCCTGTCTGGTTTGCTGACCAAGGCCTAGGGCTGGTGATTCGGCGAGGGAATGGTGAAGGGAGGATGCTGGCGTTCCTTTTCCAGAAGTCCTGCGTGATCCCGGCAGACACTTTCAGGTTCCGCTTTGAGTTGAGGGGCCTGCCCAGCGCCCCTCAGAATCATGGAAAGTGTCACTTCTCAGGACTGACGTCTTCATCTCTCTAGGGCCTAGCTGACAGTTCCACTCTGTGCAGTGCCCGGAACAGGCATGGCTGGTGGGCTTTTAGTGAAAAGGATTATTTCCAGCCGTTCATTCCACATTTGGGCGGCCAACACCGCTCACCCTGGTGAGGTGGCCACCAGGAGCCTGGAGGAGCGGGAGTGGCCCCCGGAGGAGCACAGGGAGGGAACACTAGCCAGGAAAGAGGCTGGGACAGCAACTCCTCCTTGGAACTTTCACTTCCCGCTGCTGTCTTGGGCTGGGGGCCGAGAGGGTAGGCGGGGGTGGAGTGTCCGGAGGGGAGAGGGCCATTGTTGGGGGTGCTGGCGGAGGAAGCAGAGGCTGTTGGGAACGGGTGCGCCTGACTGGGCATCAAGGCTGTTTAGGGAGGTCGGTGTTTGCACTGCTCACCCAGAGATGGGCGTTCCCAGCATCTCGTCTGTGAGGGAAAGGAAGGGCAAGTGGGCACCAGGCCACAAGGCTTCTCCCAGTCCTAAAAAAGCGCATTCCTGATTGGGTGGAGGGTGTGATTGAGAAGGGATGGGAACAGGGAGGGTCCGTGCGAGAACCTGGGATTGGCCAGAGAGACTGGATAAGCTGAACTTTCTTTAGGGACTTGGGGATGAAATTGGCCAGTTGGGATTTCCAGGATCCTTTGTTAAGTGCCAGCATGCAGTGCAGGAGCCCTAAAGTCACTGCTAGGTCTTGCTGTGCGAGAGTTGATAGGTCTGGGACACCAGGCACCCCAGCCTCGCTGAGAATTCCCTCAGCAATCTTCTCGGCCCCCGCAGGAGACACTGAGGAGCAGCAAGCCAAACCAGAAAGGGCCCTGAGTGGATCCTTGGAGAGGCAGGTCGGTCAGGACAGCCCCCCAGTTAGCTTAACAGGAATGCTTCAGGTGAGTCCTACCCTGCTAATACGTTCTCACACTTCACATTATTATTAGCTATTATCTTGAGGCCAAAAGTTTGGATAAACAGCCAGTGAACAGACCTTGTAGCAGGTCGAGCCGGGTCCAGTGGCTTTTCCTCAGCACCTGGTTCCTTTCATCTGTCTGCCTCAGCCCCATCAGCCCACCCATGTACGCTGGGACAGTGACACTGGACCTCCTTTCATCACATGCTGTTTGTTTGCTCAGGGAGAGGTTCAGAAAGGGACAGACAGACAGACAGACAGACAGACACACATTCTACAGCTGAGTCAGAGGAAGGGCTGGGGCCTGTGCTGGATCCTTCATGATGCTTCCTCTCTGGGCAGGAAGCCGAGAAGGGGTGGCCCAGATGCCTTCCTTGACCTCCCCACACTAGCCCCTAGAACAATGCCCCAGTCCAGGCAGGGCTTCCTGGTCCCTCCCTTGGGATCCCCAACCAGTGACCTAATCATTGGTACTCTCCTGAGAGCATGAGATTGTCAGGTTATAAAGGGTAGGAGTTGTGGGCAGGACTAGGGAGGTGACATGCCTCTGGTGTCCACAGACTGGTCTGCCTGAGGCCCTGGGGGTCACAGTGGAGCTGGACGGTGAGACGCATGTCCTGGAGCTTCTACAGAATAGGTAAGATGGCAGACATAAATAATCACAGGGAAAGAGTTTGCATACAAGTACCTACCCTCCTGGACTCCTTCCAACAGTCCCACAGGGTAGATAACTCTTATGGAGTGATCCTTATTTAACACAGGAAGGATTTAAAGCCCAGAGAAATTAAATGAACTTGACTGAGTTCATACAGACATATATCTCAAAAAACATTGGAACACAGAAAGGCTGGAGGAAACAGCAGCCCAACCTTTAAAGTCTGTGGCCTCCGAAGAACTGAGGACTTTGTTGGCATAGCCTTGCCCATCTCACTAGCTGGTTACAGTGACACTCTATGAAGTGGCTTCACAGGTCCTGCCTTCCTTTTGTCACAGAGATCTAGTCCCTGGCCGCCCCACTCTGGTGTGGTACCAGCCTGATGGCACTCGGGTGGTCACTGAGGGGCACAATCTGGTGAGTCAGCCCTCTCATGCTGTTTCTGGCCTTGGCAAAGGAGGGAAGGATGACAGGAGGGTGGGAGCCCTGGAGGAAGTGGGAGGATTCCCTGCTAGCAAGCTGGACTCCAGGGTTCTCTGGTCTTCCCTGTGAGCTGGTGCTACTAGTGTGGCTTCCCTTTTGTAGGCAAACTGCTGCTACCGAGGAGGCGTGCAGGGCCGTCCCGGCTCATGGGTCTCCCTCTGCAGCTGCTCCGGGATCAGGTACCAAGGATGGTTTGCTACCAGGGAAGAGGACACATGGGCAGGGACCCCAAATGCCCTCTGACTCCCTGTCTTTTTCCTTAGAGGGTTGGTGGTCCTGTCCCCAGAGAGAAGCTATACACTGGAGCTGGGACCTGGAGACCTTCAGGGTCCTCTCATTGTTTCTCGGATCCAAGACCTCCTCCTGCCAGGCCACACCTGTGCCCCAAGTTGGCATGCGCTTCTGCCCACTCAGGCTGGACAGCGCCGTATTCATAGGGTGAGAGGCATGGAAGCAGCACGGGCTGGCTCAGCCAGCACAGTGACAGCCAGCGCAGTGACAGCCAGCACAGTGGCAGCCAGTGCAGTGGCAGCCAGTGCAGTGACAGCCAGAGCAGTGACAGCCAGAGCAGTGAGAGCCAGTGCAGTAATAACAGCCAGCACAGTGACAGCCAGCGCAGTGACAGCCAGCGCAGTGACAGCCAGAGCAGTGACAGCCAGAGCAGTGACAGCCAGAGCAGTGACAGCCAGAGCAGTGACAGCCAGTGCAGTAATAACAGCCAGCACAGTGACAGCCAGCACAGTGACAGCCAGTGCAGTGGCAGCCAGTGCAGTGACAGGGCTCCTTCCTCATCGGCTCTTCATGGCAGCCTGAAAAGGCAAATGCTGACAAGAACTCTGTTTTTAAATGAAGAAACAGTGTTAGATAACTCGCCTGAGGTCATACACTAGTAAACAGTATATGGAGGATTCAGAAGCAGGGTTTACCTCAAATACCTCCCCTATCTCTAGGCCCATGGCAGAGAGCATTCGCTTGAGTAGAAACTTCCAGCTAGAAAGCAAAACAAAGACAACTTCCTAATTTACAAAGGTGGAGATTACACTACAGTGTGAAAATTAAGGTCAATTGTGATATATGTCCAGTGCTTAGGACTGTGCCTGAAGAGCGGGTTTGACTGTGACAAGGTCCCACTGTGTAGCCCTGGCTGATTGGGAACTCACTTTATGGACCAGGCTGGCTTTGAACAGCGATCCACCTGCCTCTGCCTCCCAAGTGCTGGGATTAAAGGTGTGTGCCATTACACCCGGCTTTAGTTGGTATTTTCAAACACTGATAGAAGCTAGGTTTGGTGGTACACAACTATCCAGCAGGTGTTTGGGAAGTGGAGGCAGGAGGACAGTGAGTTCACTGCCAGCCTGGGCTATAAAAGACACTGTCGCAAAAAAACAAAAGCTCGGTTTTTGTTTAGAAGCAGTGGGTTGGAATGGGAAAAGTGGAGCCCTGTTGCCAACTCCGTCTATTTCTGGCCCCCATGGGCAGGTCTCTGGCCTCTCACACTTCCCATGAGGTCTTCCTCTGACTACTCGGAGTGGGCATGGGCACAGCTTGCCCAGCCTGAGCCCTGGCTCTGAAGGGGGTTTGCCTGACATGCCCCACTTCTTATCCACAGCTTAAGCGGGATGTTGTAACAGAGACCAAAATTGTTGAGCTGGTGATTGTGGCTGATAATTCAGAGGTGAGTGTCCTGACACCACAGTTCTCTCTTGCTCACCCTGTCCCCACTTGCCCACCACATTTCAAGGTGACCCCTATTGACCCTAGGTCAGAAGGTACCCTGACTTCCACCAGCTGCTGAACCGAACGCTAGAAGTGGCCCTGCTGTTAGACACAGTGAGTGTGGGCTGGGAGGAGCCTCAGCTCCCTTGCTGCAGGCCCAGCCTCCTCCTGAGCCTCAGCTATTTCAGTTCTTCCAGTCCTTGAATGTCCGGGTAGCACTTGTGGGCCTGGAGGCCTGGACCCAGCGGGACTTGATAGAGATGAGCTCCAACCCAGCTGTCCTGCTAGACAACTTCCTCCACTGGCGCCGGACAGACCTGCTGCCTCGACTGCCCCATGACAGTGCCCAGCTGGTGACGTAAGGACCCCAAGTTCAGCTGCTGGGACCTGGTGCTATCCAGACTGCTTCGACTCCTCCGGCACTCTGACAACAGCTTTAGACTCTGACCTTTCACCTCTGTCCACAGTGGTACTTCCTTCTCTGGGCCCATGGTGGGCATGGCCATTCAGAACTCCATCTGTTCCCCTGATTTCTCAGGCGGTGTCAATATGGTAAGCTAACCGTTACAGGTACCCTCATCTCCAGTCCCAAAACTGTGCAGAAAGAGGGCAGTGGCCTTTGTCAGGGAACACAGACACCTTTGCATTTCTTGGGGGAACCTGAGGCCCAAAGGCAGAGGCGAAAACCAGGGGCTATTCAGTGGGGGAGGGGCATAGGACAGGGTTGAACTAGCACTTAAGATTTCTGTCACCCAGGCCTGTAATCGCCTACTTTAGAAGCAATTAAGGAGGAAGACAGCGTACAGGCAGGAGAGCGGGCGAGGAGGGAATGGGGGTCAGAGTCGGCTGTCCGTTGTGTTAAGTCCAGGCTGGGGTTAGACCTGGGGCTATCTCTGTCCCCAATGATAGGATCACTCCACAAGCATCTTAGGAGTTGCCTCCTCGATTGCCCATGAGTTGGGCCACAGCCTGGGTCTAGACCATGATTCACCTGGGAGCAGTTGTCCCTGTCCAGGTCCAGCCCCAGCCAAGAGCTGCATCATGGAGGCCTCCACAGAGTGAGTAGCTGGGGGGCGGGGGTTGGGACCGTGAGGGTGAGGCAAGCGAGAAGAGCTTCCAGCCTCAGCCTCCTTGCCACTCTTCCCAGTTTCCTACCAGGTTTAAACTTCAGCAACTGCAGCCGACAGGCCCTGGACAAAGCCCTCCTCGATGGGATGGGCAGCTGCCTCTTTGAACGGCTGCCTAACCTGGCTCCTATGTCCCCTTTGTGTGGAAATATGTTTGTGGACCCTGGCGAGCAGTGTGACTGTGGCTTCCCAGATGTGAGCCCCTGACCTCAAAGCCTTGCCCACTCCCATCTGTGCCCTCATCCTGATTGCCCAGCCCTTTCTAAGTCTCCTGCATGGCTTTCTTGTCTTCTCTGGTCCTCATTTACTGGGGGCTTTGACACCTGGGTTTGCTCTCTGGGAGGCTAGGAGGTCTTGAGCACTGCTGCTGCTCCGTGCCTCAGCTCTCTCTGTCCCCTTGCCTGCAGGAGTGCACTGACCCTTGCTGTGACCACTTCACCTGCCAGCTGAGGCCAGGAGCACAGTGTGCATCTGATGGACCCTGTTGTCAAGACTGCAAGGTGCGAACAGGCCCGAGACTAGCCGTCCCACCACTCCCCTGCCAGGTGAGCTCCTGGCTGAATTTGCCCAGCACCTACTTTGTTTACCACCCTCCACAGCTGCAGCCAGCTGACCGGCAGTGCCGCCCTCGCAGAGACGACTGTGATTTGCCTGAGTTCTGCCCAGGAGATAGTTCCCAGTGCCCCCCTGACCTCAGACTGGGGGATGGTGAGCCTTGTGCTAGTGGAGAGGCTGTGTGTATGCACGGGCGCTGCGCCTCCTATTCCCAGCAGTGCCGGTCGCTCTGGGGACCTAGGGCCCAGCCTGCCACGCCACTCTGCCTCCAAACAGCCAATACTCGGGGCGATGCCTTTGGGAGCTGTGGGCGCAGCCCCAACGGCAGCTACGTGCCCTGCACTCCTAGGTGAGTGGGGAAACAAGCTCCTGAGTTTGTGGGAACCTTGGTGCTGCTTCTACCCGCCCTGCTCGCCTTTCCCCCTGCCCTAGGGATGCCATTTGTGGACAGCTACAGTGCCAGTGGGGCGGGAGCCAGCCTCTGCTGGGCTCGGTCCAAGATCTGCTCTCGGAGGTCCTGGAAGCCAACGGGGTGCAGCTGAACTGCAGCTGGGCGCACCTGGACCTGGGCAATGACGTGGCTCAGCCCCTCCTGGCTCTACCTGGCACTGCCTGTGGCCCTGGTCTGGTGAGTGGTCTGGGTGGTTGAGGCCAGGTGGGAAGAGACATCTGAAATAGAGCGAGCTGTGCCCAGGCTTTGCACCACCAGCTGGGACAGGCACAGGCTTCACAGGAGCTGGTGATTTTGTTTCCCACCCGGCTTCCGTCACACATCTGGAATAGCCTCACAGCCTTGCAGGCCCAGCAGAGCCTGCGGGCCCTTGCAGAGCCATCTCTGCTCTTCTCTCTGTGGAGTAGGTGTGCATCAACCATCGGTGCCAGTCTGTGGATCTCCTGGGAGCACAGGAATGTCGAAGCAAATGCCATGGCCATGGGGTGAGCTGGCGTGGAGGAGACGGAAGGGGGAAGGGAGCCTGCTGAGGGAAAAGGGCTATGGAAGCAGACATCCTCAGTCTTTGCCACTTCCTGGGGGCATGCCGTTAACCTTCCTGGAGTGTTTCCTAGTTGCAGTGGACGTAACAATGGCACCCATATCCTGGAGGGCATGAAATGGGTAGGAAAGCGGCTAACTAGTGAACATCACACTAAAGGTCATTTTCCCTGACAGACAAAGACTTCCTCCCTCCAGGACTGTCTGTCTACCCACTAGCCACAGCATTCCTGTCAGTTTGAGAAGCCTGAGCCTTTGTGAAGCTAGATAAAGGCTGCTGGGGCTGGCTCATGCCTTTAGTCCCAGCTCTTGGGAGGCAGAGGCAGGTGGAGCCCTAAATTTGAGGCTAGCCTGGTCTACAGAGCAAGTTCTAGTACAGCCAGGGATAGAGAAATCCTGTCTTGAAAAAACAAAACAAAACAAAAAGATGGAAAGTCAGAAATAGGGCAATGGTCCCATCTTCCAGATGCCTTCATTGCTTTCTTTGAACCTCTAGGTCTGTGACAGCAGCAGGAACTGCCACTGTGAGGAGGGCTGGGCACCTCCTGATTGCACGGCTCCGCTCAAAGGTAGCTAGGAGACGGGCCCAAGGAGGGGAGGGCGAAATGGCTCCACCAGTTACCTTTCTCCTTAGTCCTCTTCCTGACCCCTTCACTTCCAGCTCCTTGGCTCTTGGCCCCCGGAAGCCGCCTTTGTCTCTGAGCACTTCATCTACTGCCCGTCCCTGCTCCTCTCTAGGTAGGGAACTCAGCCATTCTCAGCCTGTGTCAACCTCTTTCCACAGCCACCAGCTCCCTGACCACGGGCCTGCTCCTCAGCCTCCTGTTGTTGTTGGTCCTGGTCCTCCTTGGTGCCAGCTACTGGCACCGTGCCCGCCTGCATCAGCGACTCTGCCAGCTCAAGGGATCCAGCTGCCAATATAGGTATGAACATCCTTTTCCTGCTGTTACTTCCTTTAGTTAAGGACAGTTCTGAAGCCCCTGCTTCTAATGGCCCAAGCCATGCAGTCCTTATCCCTACTTCTAAATCCCAAACTCCCAGCCGCTGGATTTCCTGACCACTATTCCTATACATGTACCTACCATCTCCACAAGTATCCCTTAGCCTCTCTCATAGGTCATAGGTAGACCTCCAGGTACTGGGGCCACCTCATTCCAGACCCCGAAGTAGGGGAAAGGTGGCCTTCTTTCAGGCTGTTTATCCACAGCCCTGGCCTAAACCACACAAAGCTACCCTCCAAGGGCTAAAAGGTTAACTTCTCCCTGATCAGCAGGTGGGAGGCCAGTCCCATTCTCTCTTTGGTTGTCTTTATACTTAGGGCAGCCCAGCCAAATCCTCCCGAAAGGCCAGGACCTCCACAGAGGGCACAACAGATGCCAGGCACTAAGGTAAGCCCTGGATGGCAGAGCAAAGAGTCCACATTACTTGGTACCTACTTTGGGCCTAGAGGTGGCACTAAAAGTTCAAGACTCAAAAAAGCTTCGGAGTGCTCAGTCAGTCCAAGGAGCAGGCAGAGAAGCAGCAAGAGCGGCCAGGCCAGTCCCCTAGGAGGCTCTGCTGAGCTCTTTTAGCTGGCCAGATTGGTACTTTGAGAGGTGGTTCTGCCCACACCCATCGGCGGCCAGTGCCATGGGATAATGGGGTGGTGTGCAAGAGGACCTTCAGTGTGCTGAGATCTGACAAGGCCCAGACATCATGTGTAAAGGGTGCCAAGTGCCCAGGGCGAGAGCTCTGTGTAAAGGGTGCCAAGTGCCCAGGGCGAGAGCCTGAGCTCTCTCATGGCAGAGGGTGTGCATGAAGTCAGTGCATGTCCCTGTCATTACATGTCACCCCTGCATGTAGCTGAGTAACATCCCACTGCCTCTGGGCTCTGCTGCACTCATCTTGACACTAACCCCTTTCTGCTCACATCTGTCTGTCTCCTCCTGCCCACTCTGCCTGTCTGCTCCTCTCGTCATCTCAGCAAGCTAGTGCAATCATCTTTCCGGTGCCCCCCTCCAGGCCGCTGCCACCTAACCCTGTGCCCAAGAAACTCCAGGTAAATCTGGGCTGGGCCTTGCCCTGGCTCGGGACACATGGGAGGCGAGGTGCCCAATCCCAGTTCTCATCCCTGCTTCCCCCCAGCGGTGTTCTTCATTAGGAGACCAGGGTGCCCCCTCAGCCTTCAAAGCCCCAGAAGCAGCCAAGGGTGAGCCTCCTGACATGGTCTCTGCTACCACCTGGTGGTCAATAGTGGGACTACAGCCATTCAGGGACTATGATTGATCCACACCTTCCTTCCCCGAGGCTCCTGTCTATTGGCAAGCACCCAAGGCCCCCTGCGCATGCTCCCATGTTCCATTGAGCCCCTGGCTGACTTTGCATGTTGACCCTGGGGAGTCTCTGCATGCTCACCCCCTCGGACTGTGCTTTCAAAGCCACCACTCCTCTCTTTGTTCAGGCTGAGCTGGCTGACCGACCCATTCCCCCCACTCGCCCTCTGCCCGCCGACCCTGTGGTGAGGCACCCAAAGGTAACAGTGAGTGGAAAGCAGAAAGCATTGCCTCTCCTGCCTAGACCCATGGTGACAATGGCAAGATGGCTTCCTCTATGCCTGAGGGCATGTACCCCAATAGCACCTTTGGTAGTGACAGGTTTGTTTGGAGACGAAGGTGCCCATTAGCACTGCTCCTAGAACCCTCCATGGAGGGTGGAAATCATGACAACTGATCTTCTCTCTCAGTCTCAGGGGCCCACTAAACCCCCACCCCCAAGAAAGCCACTGCCCGCCAACCCGCAGGGCTGGCACCCATCAGGTGACCCGCCGGGCCCAGGGGACGGAAGCATGCAGTTGGTGGTGCCCTCCAGGTAGGTGAGGAGCCTGCTGTGGGAGACCCGTGTCTTACTGCCAGTGAGGCATCTGAGCAGGAGTTCTGACTTTTACAAATGTTTTCCTTGGCTTTCTAAACTCCAGGCCAGCTCCACCACCCCCGACACTACCCTCACTCTACCTCTGACCTCTCTTGAGGTTTGGCTGCCTCCCACCCAGATTTAAGACTTAAAAGTGAAATCTCTGCCGGACAGTCCCCCTCCAAATGCCTAGAGGGGCAGGAGCCAAGAGGACGCAGCGTCCAGCCCTAAGGAACCACCCACCATCCGGCGCTGTTAACCTTGGGACCCACCAAAATAGCTGCACCTGGCTGTTGGGGAGGGGCCGTGGCTGGAAAAGGCGGCGGAGGGACGCACACACATCTGTCTCTGCTTCTTTGTAATAAATGTGAGATCTTGGAATGTGGCTCCTGGAACAGGGTAGTGGCTGCTGTGTTTCCAGGTCTGACCACTAGGGGACGCCGCTGGGTCAGACCAGGGCCTGTTGGGGAGGATGACATCCCAGAAAGGGTCAACTAGAATTCTCACTGGGGATGCCTGTAGCTTGTTTCTGCCCAGTCTGGGGTGTATGGCCTCTAGTTTCCAAGTTCTTCCTGCCCGTGCTGTTCAGCCCCCACCGCAGCTATAGACAAATGACCTAAGTCGTCAGACCTGCATCCCCACCCTCCGACCAGGGCTGGGAAAATGAATCTAACTGGTGTTCTCAGAGCCCTGAGCCTGGGCGGAGCAGGGCAGCAGCTGCTTGAATTCCAAGGTTTCACACCTGCCTCCTCCACCTCCCTACCCCCACCCGAAGGTTCTAGAACAAAGGTGCTTTGTGTTTTGTACAGATTGCTTCTACCTCATCACTGGGTCCTCAGGTCTTAGGCCTCCTGGAAGAGGGAAGGTGTGTGGGGATAAGAAGCGGGCTCTGCCCCAAAGTGGTCACTCAGTGTGACACCTAAGGCTCTATAGCAGTGGGCATGTCCCCAGAGGTACTTCCTGCCTTCCCTGTGCACCGTCCTCTAGATGCACAGAGAAAACAGCAATTCATGGAAGGTCCTTCTCCTTCAGTCTCCAAAAGATCTGGGCTTTCAGGTGCTGGCCATCGTGTGCTCGCGCGAGTGCGCGGGGGGGGGGGGGGGGGGGTTTTTTGGTTATTGGGAACTGACCAGAATTCTGGATTCTTCCGGACATTCTCCCACTGCAGAGACTGCGGATGTCACTGCATACGCAGTCCAGCTCTGGCCTCCAAGCTTTCTACCTTGAACTAATGCAAACACGAAAGACAAGATCTGGACAAAACAAAACCCACCCCTCTTAGGCGGTAGGTGCATGAGTGCATGGCTGTAATTCCGGCACTGGGGAGGATGGGGCAGGAGGATGGCCAGTTTGAGGCCAGCCCCGGTTACAATATAAGTTAAAGGTTAGCCAGGCTTTAGGGTTAAGACCCTGTTTCAAACAAAACAAAGCACAATATGGGACTGGAAAGAGGCCACAGCCTTGGACAAGTGCTTCCTTGAGTTCGGATCCCCAGCCCTCAGGTAAAAAGCCCCAGGTGAAGTGGTTTGCTTCCGTTCCCAACCGCGTGTGGGAGGGGTGGGGTGGAGCAAGGAAACAGGAGGATCCCCCCCCCAGCCCCAAGCTTACAGGACTGCAAGCCTAGCCAATCAGTGAGCTCCGGGATTCAGCGAGAGACCCTGTCGCAAAAAATAAGGTGGAGAGGGATAAAGTGAGACCTCTGCCCCATGACAACTCGTACGAGCACGTACACATACATACAAACCAAACCAAAAACCTCAAAACAAAAACTGCTTAGTGGAATAGGTCCCCTCTGCCACCCTCTCTCAGCGCAGAGAGATACAAAAGGAAGCTTTGGCTAACCTGGAGCGCACAAGAACGCACAAAGGGTTAACACGAGTTGGCACTGGGTGGAGAGGCGGAGACGAGTTTTCATTGGTGGAAAGTTATCCAGGGATGTGGTCTAAGAGTCTCCACACCCCACCTCCTTTCCGTACCCCCCCCCCCCCGACTTTTGTACCTAGTCTCGCCGGGACAGAGAAGCGGGCCGGGACCAGCCGGGCCAGATCAGACTGGACCCCAGGGGCGATGCGGCTGCTGCCCCTGCTGCGGACTGTCCTCTGGGCCGCGCTGCTCGGCTCGCGCCTGCGGGGGTGCTCCAGCCTCCGCCACCCTGTCTACTGGAACTCCTCTAACCCCAGGTAGCCCGGCCGAACGAGGCGAGCGCCAAGCTGGGCCCGCGCGCTCCCAAGCTGTGCGCGCGCCCGCCGCTCGCCTTTTGCAAGGCGCTGTTTGAGCCCTGCCCAGCCGCGCGCCGGGGCTCCTTTGTTTGAGCCGGCGGGGGAGGGGCGAGGCGTGCCCGGGGTCCCCCCCGCCCGAACGTGTTGGGGGACGGGCGGAGGACCCTAGTTCTGAGGGTGGTCGGATACCGGGAGCTGGGGGACCTGGGCCCGTATTTCTGGCCCCGCCCCCCTTTTCTAGTGAGCCCCAACCTCCGGCCGGCAGCAGCTGGGGCGGACCGCTGAGAACCCGGGAGGGGTCTTCTCACTAGTGAAAGAACGTGAGTTCCTCTCTAGTTTTCAGGTCCCCTCGGCTCCTGATTTTGTTTGATATCTCTGCTTCCATCTTGATTTTATTTCTGCCCAATCCTGGCCCTGCCCTTCCAGCTGATTCACCTGTGGGCCAGTCATTTGACCTTGCTAACCTCAGTTATGTCATCCACAAAATGGGCTAATAATACCTAGTGCCCTGGGAAGCGAGCGGACTGACTGAGGTCAGCTTGTGAAGAGAAGTGCAGCTGTACAGATTTAGATGCGTATTTCTTCCTCTCTGCTGAGCTGGCTGCCTTTGAACCTCGGGATTTTTTGCTGTTTGTATCCTGCCTCCTGTTTCTCTCTGCCTCTCTGCCTTCCCCATCTGTTTCCCGATTTTCTACTTCAGACAATCTGTGGCTCTGTTCATCTATTCACTAATGTTTGATAAGCACACTGTTTCAAGACTAGTGTTGGTCTGCTGGGCATTGCCAATGTGAGAGGCGGAGACACTGCCCCTGGGAGGCTCCAGACCCCCAGGAGGGCAGGCCAAGATAGTCATTCCCTTACCAGGACTGGGTCATAAGCGCTATTGTTGTCCTGGACTCGCAGGCTGCTTCTGTCTCAGCTCCAGACCAGCTCCATCCCCAGCTCTTGAGTTTCTAGTTCATTCACCAAATCCACAAGTATTTATTGGGCACTGGCTTTGTAGGGAGCCTTTCCACACCCAGTGGAATGAAACACAAAGACGCTAGCTTCCCTTAGCTTGCCTTCTAGTGTTCTGAGCTAAGCCGGGAATCTTTCTAATCAAGCGTTCCTACAGCAGGGGTCCCTGGCTACTCAGTGCAGAAGGTCTGGAGGCCTTTTCTAGACATGCTTTACTCTGCACATGGTGTTGGAGGCAGGACTCATTCAGTATTCGGTGCTGTGGGGGTGGCCTGTCCCAGCCCTTCTCTCCTGTGAGCAACTCGGTTGTGTGTGTATGGGGTCCTTTTATACCTAGCCTTGTCTGGTCAAAAGGAAGTTGGACTGTGTGTGGTGGCACATGCCTGTAATCCTAGTTTTCTGAAGGGTGATGTGGAGGGGGGAGGGGAGGGGGATGTCGCAGCCTTGGGAGCTCCAACTCCAGAGCAGCCATCACCACCTCTGGCCCCCGCCAGCACCTGTGCTCACGCACATGTACCATACACATAGAATAACTAAATAGTATCAATTACAGAAGACTGCGAAGGGGCAGGAGGAGCATTGAGTCAGGGCCAGCTTGGCTACACAAGATTCTCCCTAAAGAGAAAAGGAGAGCCCGCTCATTCATTCTCTTTTTACCATGCCTGTTTCTCCCTAAGAGCTCCAAGTTCATTTCTCTAACTCTTTGGGCGTGTATCTGCTCCCCTGCCTCGGCCTCGGCGCCTGCCAGCATTCATCCTCTTAGCGTTTATCAAGCACAGATGGTAAGCCAGGCCCCATGTGGGGCAGCGGGCTACAGGGAAGGTGCCCTGAAAGATGGGTAGGATGGATGATGGGGTAGGAGATGGATGATGGGGTAGGAGATGGATGATGGGGTAGGAGATGGATGATGGGGTAGGAGATGGATGATGGGTTAGGATGATGGATGATGGGGTAGGGGATAGATGATGGGGTAGGGGATAGATGATGGGGTAGGGGATAGATGATGGGGTAGGGGATAGATGATGGGGTAGGGGATAGATGATGGGGTAGGGGATAGATGATGGGGTAGGATGATGGGGTAGGATGATGGATGATGGGGTAGGGAATGGATGATGGCGTAGGATGATGGGGTAGGATGGATGATGGGGTAGGATGATGGCCTCCTCACTAATAAAGAAGCCTTATGGGCTGGGCACTATAGCCCCTTAACCTCTCTGAAACTGACTTGATTGTCACATTATTACCTATACACTGTCTCTCATGGAGGTATTCAGTCTAGGATTTGACATAGGCCTATAATCTCAGCTACTCGGAAGACTAGGGAAGGAGGCTCATAGGTTCAAGGCCTGCCTAAACTATAGTGAATGCAAGGCCAGCCTGGGCAACTTAGCAAGGTGCTGTTCAAACAGGAAAAAGTAAAAGGCTGGTCATAGTCAGAAGTGGTCACTTAGCATGCGGGCCTTGGAAACGCACCCTTTCTGAGCTATTCTATGACTAGTGGGTGAGAGAGGCCAACTCAGACCCCATGGTCCAACTGGGCCACACACTCCCATCAGCCCACACTCCCTTGTGCCCACAGGCTGCTTCGTGGAGATGCTGTGGTGGAGCTGGGCCTCAACGATTACCTAGACATCTTCTGCCCACATTATGAAAGCCCAGGGCCGCCGGAGGGCCCTGAAACCTTTACTTTATACATGGTGGACTGGTCAGGCTACAAGGCCTGCAAGGCAGAGGGGGCAAGCGCCTTCCAGCGCTGGAAGTGCTCGCTGCCTTTTGCCCCTTTCGGCCCCGTTCGATTCTCAGAAAAGATCCAGCGTTTCACACCCTTCTCCCTGGGCTTCGAGTTCTTGCCTGGAGAGACATACTACTACATCTGTGAGTGAGCAGCTCGGCTCGGCATGCCTGGGGGAGGGAAAGGAGAGGAGGAAGGGGCTCCTAAGGCTTAAAGGCTGGGTTGTGCTGGGAAGAGACTGTGGAAACCAGGAAGGAGGACTAGGGAGTTGCCGAGAGTCATGGAGGACCTGGTACTTGGGGTGACTCGCAAAGGAAGATAAGCCAAGAAGGCCTGAAATAGTCCGATTCCAAGGGATGGTTTTCTGTGCTAACTTTTTCCTCCCAATTTCTCATCAGCGGTGCCAACCCCGGAGAGTTCTGGCCGGTGCTTGAGACTGCAGGTGTCTGTGTGCTGCAAGGGGAGCGGTAAGTGGGCCAGGATCTGGGGCCCTTTGGGGATTGAGAAAAAGGGGGGGATAGGAACATCAGACCTCAGTGGTCCAGGCTAAGCGTCAAGCTCCAGCCTCTGCTCCCATAGTCACCCCTGCGGCAGCTTCCACCACACCTTCTTTAAAGCTGGGCATAGAGAACGGGGTTCCCAAGGGGCAGGGCCTTCCACATCTTACTTGGACTTGAGGACTATTGACTAGGAAGGTTTGGAAATGGGGTTTGGGAAGGATGAGGGCGGTCATGGGAAGGCAGTGGCTGTTTTGGGAGACCTTAGAGCCTGAAAACAGACAGAGAAGGCCAGGGAGAAGGCTGCTGAGGAAGCAGGAAGACCCAGCTGGTTCTGCCTCTTCTCCCTCACAGGATCCGAGTCAGCCCACCCTGTTGGGAGCCCTGGAGAAAGTGGCACATCTGGGTGGCGCGGAGAGCATGCCCCCAGCCCCCTGTCTCTCTTGCTGCTGCTGCTGCTCCCAATACTTCGTCTCCTGCGAGTTCTGTGAGCCAAGTGTATCTTCCCTGTCACCCCAAGGAACCAGAGCCCTTCCCAAGATCCTCTGCTGAAGGGTTTTTGCCACCATACCGGAGATGCCGTGCCAGGCAGACACGATGAAGCTTTGATGTGCAAAGTCAGAGGATCTGAGGTGACCCTCGTAGGTGACTGCCCCTTACCACAGGCTGAAGAGGAACTACAAGGGAGCTGCAGACTGTCCAGGGCCCCCTGGAGCATCGCTGCTTTGATGGTCTTGTCTCTTCCCCCAGAAGACTGGGATTTGGTGAGATCAAATCCTTGAGCCACTGGGGGCCCAAAGCCAAAGACCTGTGAACAGGTGGGTTCCTGGCCAAGAGCGAGGGAGAAGCCATGCTATCTGTCCCCTCTAGGTGTCTTCCCAGGGGCAACTGTTGCCCTCCCAGGGGCCATTTATTTGTCTTCTGTGAAGACGGACTTGCCATGAGGTTGAATTTCATGCTGGTTTGTATTTTTTATAAGTGTTTGGACCAATAAATCACCCATTCTCATGGGGCATGGTGGCTCACACCTGTAATCCCAGCACTGGGGGGTGGGAGTGGGATGGGGGTGGTAAGCAGGAAGTCAGTCTGGGTATGGGAGACCCTGTCTCAAAAAAAAAAAAAAAAAATGGAGGCCCGTGAGAAGATTCATCAGGTTAAAGTTTTTGCTTGCTGTAAAGCCTTGGCCACCTGAGTTCAGTCCCTGGAACCCACCCACATGGTGGAAAGAGAAGAGACTTTTGAAAGTTGTCCTTTGGACATGCCACATGAGAATACACACACACACACACACACACACACACACACACAAATAAACTTACGTTAAAAAACCACCCATCTTTGTCTTACTCTCTCTTCTGACTTCTTCCCTGACACCTGAACTCCCTGGGGCCTCAGCTCTTAGCTCGACTTGGCCTGACCCCCATGCCAGCTGTGTCCAGGCCATCCATGCCAGACATCAGTGGGCACCCTTCTGGGCAGTTTGGGATAGGTGCCAGCAGGAGCTGTGGAGCTTGGCACCCTCTCGCACCTCCCCAGCCATCTTCCCGTGCTAGGTGGCAGATGCTACTGACATCCACTCTGGCAATGCTTACTCCGGGTGCTGGGGTAAAACCCAGGGGAAACAGAAAAGCACCTGGGTTTCAGAATGCCGGCGTCAAAGCGAGACTTGCCGCCCTCCTCCTCCCCAAGGGCACTCTGGGCGGTGCCTGGCCTAGAACTGGGAAGGTGGGGTCAGATCAAAGCCTTCTTCCCCAGCGGCCTCTTTGTTCTGAGCTTTTATAAGGAGAAGGAGGTGGGGCTCTCAGGAGAGAGGGCTCCTTCGTCCTTAGTCCGATACTGTCTCTTCCTCTCAGACGGACACCCCCTAACTCCGCAAGGGCTCTCTTTCTGAACTGTGCCCTAGGTGGGAGTAGGGGAGGGAGCACCCCTTCCCATTTGCTCGCGCTCTGCCCTCCCGGGTGCCCGGCAGGCTCCCCTGGCTATGTGCCGGCCTACCTGGCATGGAGCCAGCGATCGATAGGTGTCTGTTGTGCTGATTAGCCCGACCCGGCTGCGGCAGCGAGAGGCTGCGTGTGAATGATTATGGGGCGGGGTTATGAGGGTCAGGCACCAAGATGCTGGAGTTGGTGAAGCCTCCCCCCACCCCTCGTCTCCTTGCACACCTAAGTCAGACTGGTTTCTTTAAGGGAATGGGACCTATGTATCACACAACTCTGGTCCTCACAGTTCGCGGTAATTCTTTGGCTCTGGCTAAGGCCCAGGGTTAAGGAGAGTGGCGGCAGGCAGAGCAGATTTTTGAGTTAATAATCTCCTCATTCGAGGCCAGTTTCAGAAAATGTTGCTTTATCGGTGTTTGGGTTAGGGTCCTGACCCTAAACTTTGATCTTCAGCAATTAAAAAGATGTTTATGTGTCGAAGAAAAGGCGGACTGAGAACTGTGGGAGGAGCTGTGGGCTGAGTCTTTTGGTCCAGCGTTGGAGTTCATCGCTGCCATCTTCCTGGAGGGCGTCTATGTGTTGCCATGGAAACCAAAGATACAGTTACCTCCGTCCCTCGTCAGAGAAATTATAAGCAGGGCAAGCCCGGGGAGATTGTTAAGTGGCCCCTGCCCTGAATTCAGAAATATGGGTTCTTACCCAGCTCCCCTGAGATTACACACACACCTTCTCGGACCCAGCAGGAGCCCTGGCTGGCAGCGCCAATCCCTTGTGCAAAAGGGACTGAGACCTCGTTGGTTTTTCTCAAGTTGAGACACATGGTCTCAGTTTCAGGCTGCGTTTGACACAGACTTGTGCATCTGCAGGTGCAAGGTCGGATGCTGGGGAGGACACAGGAGCACCCTCAGGCTGTAGGCCTTCAGGCCAAACCATACCTCCCCTGCCCCTTCTTTTCTGTTCCCTTCCGCACAGCGTGGGCCCTGCACGTTTGGCAGTTGCCCGCCCAGGTACTCCCTGGTAGAAAGGTCTCATGGCGCCTGCTCTTAGCACCAATACAAGCTGAAGGCTTTGGCGGCCCTCCCGCGCCTGGCCCTACCCACGAGAAGTCTTCGCAGCGTGTGCAGGGGCACAGTTCCAAGAAGTTATGCAGGCCTGCAAGTTTGGGGCGTCACCGGTCTCCCCTAAATTCAGCGGCGCTGGACGGCTGAGGGTGGGGCCCTCAATTTACTAAACCAGCCCTAGTCTCAGCGGTACAGATGCGAAAACTTAATCTCTCTCTGTCTCCCAGGCTTGAGAGTCCTTTGCCTGGATTCTTCCCCACACTTATCACGTAACAAATTGCCCTTCAAATCCCGAAATGGCTCCTTCTTTTCCGTATTCACTTCCTCCACTCATCCAGTCAGCACTCTGTGAGCTCCCCGCCATTCTTTTAGCTGGGGTCGTCGGGGGGATCCCCCCGCAGTGACGCAGTTGAAAAGTGAGCACTCTGGCTTCTGAATAGCCAATAGGATCCCTGAACTTGGGGCATGAGGTCATCAGTGGCGATCTGCATTGGTTCAGGCCTGAAAACGAAGGTCCCCATAGCAACCGACGGTGCGTCCAAGCGTAACCTTGAGAGTGGTCACTGCTCCAGTTGCTGGGATCCATCTCCTGTAGCCGCTTTAAGAAGGTTTTGGGAACTGGGCTGAAGAAGCTGCAGAGGAGTTCAACGTCCCAGGTTCTGTAGCCTTCACCCAAGCAAGCTCTTGTCTTACTTAAAGTTATTCTTTTTCGCTCAAAGCAAAGGTCAGTGTCACTTAACCCAGAAAGTTTAGGTAGGGGTTATTTGCAACAGCCATGGTGCCTTGGGTGCAGAGCTACTGCCATGGGGAATGTCAATTCTGAGATCTGTTCATCTGCATATCGTCTGCATCTCATTTGCATTCTGCTCATTTAAGGTCAAATTGGGCAGACATCTCCACCTCCCTATCTCTGTCACTTGTCTGTATCCGCAATCTATCCCTTGGTGACTCTGTAGTCCTCCACTGTCCGATTCCACGGTCCCCACCCCTCCTCCCACTCTCCAAAGTCTCCTGGGGGTGGGAAGTGGCAAAGCCTAGGGAAAGGAGAAAGAATAAGGCACGTGCGGCTCCTCGGTGTTGGCGACAGATGGGGAGTGCCGGTCTCTACTGCCTGGAGACTAAACTGGCAAAGCTAGCAGTGGGGGGAGGTGCCCCAGCTGGGGTGAAGGTCTCCAGGGCCAAATCACCTACACGCCTGGTGAGATGCTGGAACCAGGATGCCGGGTTCCAGCAAGGAGCAGGCTTGCCCACCTGTCTGGTGTCAGGGCCGCTTCCTCCCCGCAATTAAGCGCTAATGACCTGTCATTTAACCCTTACCTGACTACCAGCTGTCGGGCGTGTGGGACTGAAAACCATGGTCTCACACTGATAAAAGGGTGGAAAGGACGGCCTCCAAGGAGACAGAGATCAGGGCACTTGGACACAGGAAGGAGAGGCCTTAGACAGGGTGTCTCTCAAGGGATTCTGTGACTCTAGGATTCCTGTGGACTCTCCAGGGACTCTAGGAATAGCGGCACTGTCCAAATGCATTTTTTTCTCTCATGGATTTACAATTATTTATTAAACACCTCTGCGAACTAAATACCAGATGGCATTTGGGTGCTGAGTACACTTATTTGCATGAGACAAGAAACTTTCTCTTCAGAGACATGCCAGGCTGAGTTCGAGGCTAGCCTGGTCTACAGAGTGAGTTCCAGAACAGCTGGGGTTACAGAGACAAATCCTGTCTCAAAAAAACAAAAGAGAGGAAGAAAGACAGAGAAAAGAAATCTTCAGAAACAGACCAGCCATTAAATAAGTATGATGCCAAGTGCAGCATTAATACAGAACTCCATACAAATGACTGGGAACAGGCCTGCTCCTCTAAAAGTCCTGAGTTCAATTCCCAGGGGCCACATGGTGGCTCACAACCATCTGTAATGAGGTCTGGTGCCCTCTTCTGGCCTGCAGGCATGCATGTAGGCAGAATACTGTATACACATTAAATAAATAAATCTTAAAAAAAAACTTACAAATGATTGGGAACACAGAGGAGAATGGGCTCTGAGAGAAGCTTTGGTTAAGAAGAACAAAATTTATGGCAGGGAGATGCTTGTGTGTTTTCACACAGCAAAAGTCCACATGGAGATGTTCTTCAAGGACTGTTGGTACATACCTTCACAGCATGTTTTCATCTACGTGAATGTGCGTGTGTGTGTGTGTGTGTGCATGCATGTGTGTATGCATGTGCGTGTGTACGTGCGTGCGTGTGTGTGCATGCGTGTGTGTATGCATGTGTGTGTACGTGCGTGCGTGTGTGTGTGTGTGTGTGCATGTGCGTGCGTGTGTATGAGACATCTGGATCTCTTGATCTCTGCTTCTGAACTTGTATTGTGGTTTTATTACAGACCAATGCTGCGAAGATGCTCTTGTGCAGATTGGCCTGAACCTGCACAGCCCAGGGGAGAGAAGTGGGGAACTCATGTTGGCTCCATGGGAAGAGGTGGGCAGACGTTGTCTTGGCACCAGAGCCAGAAACCTAGCTCCTGAAGCAGCAGCAGCCTGACCAACAGAGGCAAAGGGCTGGGCTCCAGGCTGCAGGGTACACTGAGGCCTGGTGGGCCACTCTGTCTCCGACTTCCCAAGGGACTGGGTGTTCCCCACCAGGAGTCCAAGTCCCCTCCCCCACCAATTCTTACTTGTAAAAGAGCAGGCCAGCTCAGACCTGTCTGCTGCTGGCTCTCTCCCTGGGGAGCTGATCTCCAGGGACAGGAGAGGCTGGGGAATGCTAAGGCTTGCGGAGAGGTTGCCAGATACTCCACCCTGACTCGACAAGGCTCTCTGCAGCCCAGGCTCTCCCCACCCATTCTGGTCTTTGCCCAGGCATAGACTGCATTGCCAGGATGCCCTTGACTGTTGGGCTGAGAGTGAGGGCCCGAGCTCCGACTGTGAAGATGTCTGGGTATTGGTACCCAGCTCAGAGACCTCTCTACACCATGGGTCTGAGAAGGTCAAGCGCTCCTTCTCCCACAGTTC